ACAATGGTGCCGTAGTGGGAAACCCCCAAATCTGTTACTGCCTAAACATCTTAACTATATCAATCAGTCAACAATAATCTAGATCTATTTGTAGAATTAATAAGAATAGGAATGGACAGGTAATATTGCACGTCAGGGTAGGGGCTGGCAAGGGGATACTAGCTACCCATGCAGTTGCAACACAAATTTTGTCACGCGAAAATCTCTGAGCCGTATCCTGTCGCCAATTGTTGTTACATCCAAATTCATTAAATTTGCTTCGTTTATCTCCTATATGCCTACTTTATTATTGATGAAAGTTTCCATTAAATAACCTAGCCCAACAGACGACAAAAGTGCCTCCATTTTTTAAAATAACCGATCAAAATGTTCCGGCTCGTCAACAAAAAGGTCATCTATAAATAGTTCATCATCATCGTAATAAAAAAATCACTGAACCATATATCAAAATAGTGTAACCATTTTTAAAAAGAACATCACCATACAACAGAATAGTATCACCATATATCAAAGTAGTAAAACCATTTATAAAAAGAACATTACCATACAACAAAATAGTATAACCATTTATAAAAAGAACATCACCATATATTAAAATAGTATAACCATTTATAAAAAGAACATTACCATATATCAAAGTAGTATCACTATTTATAAAAGAACATCACCATATAGCAAAAAAGTACCACCATTTATAAAAACAACATCACTACATAGCAAAAAATATCACCATTTATAAAAAACATCACCATATAGCAAAATTACAGCATCATTTATAAAACAACAGCACCATATATAAAATGACATTACCGTTTATCAAAGGAACAGCGCCATATATCATTACTGCAGCACCATTTATCAAAACAACAGCACCATATATCTAATTACATCAGCAACAATCAAAATGACATCACCAGTTAACAAAATCATAGCACCATCTGTCAAAACGACATCACACTTTATCAAAACTACAGCACCATTTACTTAAACTACAGCACCATCTGTTAAAACAACATCACCATTTATCAGAACCACAGCACCATTTATCAAAACCACAACACCATTTATTTAAACTACAGCACTATCTGTCAAAACGACATCACCATTTATCAAAACCACAGCACCATTTATTTAAACTACAGCACTATCTGTCAAAACGACATCACCATTTATCAAAACCACAGCACCATTTATTTAAACTACAGCACCATCTGTCAAAACGACATCACCATTTATCAAAACCACAGCACCATTTATTTAAACTACATCACCATCTGTCAAAACGACATCACCATTTATCAAAACCACAGCACCATTTATTTAAACTACAGCACTATCTGTCAAAACGACATCACCATTTATCAAAACCACAGCACCATTTATTTAAACTACAGCACTATCTGTCAAAACGACATCACCATTTATCAAAACCACAACACCATTTACTTAAACTACAGCACCATCTATCACAACGACATCACCATTTATCAAAACCACATAACCAGTTATCAGAACAACACCACCATCTGTCAAAATGACATGACCGCTTAAGAAGTGTTTTTATGAGGCAGCTATGGCGTTCCATACTGCAAGCTCTGTGGTATTTTCTGATTTTTGCAATCTAGTTCGAACTGTACACCGAGCCGAATTTCTAAACGTCCACCTTATATTTTACAGAATTTAAACAAAACAAATTAGATTAGGCTTTATTTTTTTATTCCATGTCAGATATGATAGAATTTATTCCAAATATCAAATGGAAATTTCAACAGACATAAATAAATGTTTTAATCAGAGACATTTAAAGAAATTAAACGCCCCTGAGAGTGAAAAATAACATTGGCTTTCATCAAATTTAGGTTGACATTTAGGTTGTGTGTCCTCCGGCAGCGGCAATAACAGCACGACACCTTGACCTCATGGTTATAATGTATCTTTGAAGATACTGCTGGGGAATTGCAGCACATACCTGGATAACATCCCTCGTTAGGTCGGCAATATTTAACTGATGTGGCCGGGCTCTTACTCTTCTCTTTAGAAGATCCCAAATATTTTCGATAGGATTTAAATCCGGACTTCTTGCAGGCCATTGAAGAGTCCTTACATTATTGGCAGCAAACATAGCCATGGTACCTCTAGCAACGTGACAGGGTGCATTATCCTGGGCAAAAATCATTCCACGATTCCCGCGAACATGTGGAATAAGAATTGGCTGGATGATGTCTGTATGATATCTCCTTGTATTTAGATTGCCTTGAAAAGGGATGATTGGACTTCGTGTTCATAGATACACCAGCTCACATCATTATAGAGCCACCTCCGAACTGATCAGCATGAAATAAGCATGCCTCAGTGTTTCGCTCACCTCGTCCCCTATCACGTCCATGAAATGCACGTGCTAATATCTATAAATGGGACTTAAGTTCGCTGTAAAATCACGAAGTGGGACATATCAAAATGACAATGAAATTACACATGCAAATTTTCAAATTTGAGCATTGCTGATTTTTACCAGAATCAAACGATATAGACTGGACGTTTACAAATTCGTCTGAGTGTATATCTGTATGTATTTTCCTGTATAAGTTTATACTATAATTCATCTTACCGAGATGCAGGGACTGCGTTTAAATTTTTTACTATAAAAGTTTGATTTTGATACATACGGAATTTTGCATGACTAGAGTTGCATCAAAATATCATTTACTTGTATGTTCATTTTTTATGACAGTAACACTTTAACCTTGCATATCGTGGAAAGACACTTAAAATAAAAATAGTTGCCTCTACTGGGATATGAACTCCAGACCTCTCACACCCTAAGCGAGCGCGTTACCCCTGCACCACGGGGAAGTTATACGAAGAAAGCCCGAATAAAACAAGAATGTCGAACGACACATATACCCCCCTTTCTAGCCATTGACTCACATAATTGGTAATTTTATTACAGAAACTTGCCAAAAATGGGTACATGGAAGTGTTCAATTATGGAAAAATCAACAGAAACCATTTTGACATTTAAGGCCCATGTGACATTGACCTTTGACCTAATGACCCCTAAATCAATAGGAGTCATCTACTACTTATGACCAATAACTAAGTGAAATATGAAGACTTTGTGATGAATACTTTTCAAGATAATCAGCGGAAACCCTTTTGACATTTAAGGCCCCTGTGACCTTGACCTTTGACCTAGTGACCCCAAAATCAAAAGGGGTCATCTACTAGTTATGGCAAATCACTATGTGAAATATGAAGACTTTGTGATGAATACTTTTCAAGATAATCAGCGGAAACCATTTTGACATTCAAGGCCCCTGTGACCTTGACCTTTGACCTAGTGACCCCAAAATCAATAGGGGTCATCTACTAGTTATGACCAATCACTATGCGAAATATCAAGACTTTGTGATACATACTTTTCAAGATAATCAGCGGAAACCATTTTGACATTTTAAGGTCCGTGTGATCTTGACCTTTGACCTAGTGACCCCAAAATCAATAGGGGTCATCTACTAGTGATTATCAATCACTATGTGAAATATAAAGACTTTGAGATACATACTTTTCAAGATAATCAGCGGAAACCATTTTGACATTTAAGGCCCCTGTGACCTTGACCTTTGACCTAGTGACCCCAAAATCAATAGGGGTCATCTACTAGTGATGACAAATCACTATGTGAAATATAAAGACTTTGAGATACATACTTTTCAAGATAATCAGCGGAAACCATTTTGACATTTAAGGCCCCTGTGACCTTGACCTTTGACCTAGTGACCCTAAAATCAATAGGGGTCATCTACTAGTTATGACCAATCACTATGTGAAATATGAAGACTTTGTGATACATACTTTTCAAGATAATCAGCGGAAACCATTTTGATATTTAAGGTCCCTGTGACCTTGACCTTTGACCTAGTGACCCCAAAATCAATAGGAGTCATCTACTAGTTATGACCAATCACTATGTGAAATATGAAGACTTTGTGAAAAATACTTTTCAAGATAATCAGCGGAAACCATGTGGTCTACCGACGGACAGACCGACAGACAGACAGACAGACAGACCGACAGACAGACAGACAGACAGACAGACAGACAGACAGACAGACAGACAGACAGACAGACAGACAGACAGACAGACAGACAGACATTAGCAAAACAATATACCCCCTCTTCTTCGAAGGGGGGCATAATTAAATAATTCTTAATTTAGAATTTCCAATTCGGGTTTGTAATCCTTATTAATTGCGAGATAAACCTGTTGTTTAACACTGATGTAAATAATTTGTGAATAAAATGTGAAAATCTTATCGCCAAAACAGTCCGACATGTTGTATTTCACTACTGGACAGTCAGATTTATTTGTGTACTACGCTCTATCGACATCGCTAAAAATAGCATTTTCATTGATTAAAATGATATTCATCCGCGTAATTTGTGATTGTGCATTTTTGACAATTAAAAGCAAACACTACTTTTAAACTTTGAATGCGTTGTAATTTTTTGGATACTTGTAACAAAATAAAAATAATTCTTTTTTTACATCGCTAGTTTTAAGCTGTTTTGGGAACTACTTATTGTTAGGTTTGTCGTGAAATTCTGTGCCAGAGATTGAATGTCAGCATTGTATTTCCTGATCTGTGATCAGAAAATACAAAAGCGACATCACCATTTATCCAAGGACATCACGACTTAATAAGTGTGTATATAAGGCAGCTATGGCGTTCCATATACTTTATTGTCCTGTAATCAGTGTTGTTCAATATTGCCCTGTTATTAGGAAGTAGTCATGAAAAAATATGTCATGTTTTGCAGTTTGGATCGAAATATTCGTCGCATAAGGTTGTCACGAAGTTTGTCCGATTTTTTTCGCTTCACATTCTACCATATCATATTTCAATGCTTTACATCTTATGTTAAAACAATTTTTCATGAAAACCAATGTCATTTTAATGTCAATATTTTCTTTCTAAGATAACCAAAAGTATATATACCTTTTGAATCGGTGCTCTATAGCTTAAATGGAATATACTCAATGTGTACCCCTTTCTGTTTCCAATTTCATCGAAGGCTATCTTTCCTGAAAGTCCTTCCTTCGTCACCTTTAAATTAAAATATTTGATCTAATTAAACATTGATGTTTATAATAACTCTTTGAAGTTTATCATACGTGAAATACTGCCTAATAATACAGTATGGTTTAAAATCATAAAATGTCTTGTAAGTTGCCACAAGGGCAAAAAGAACTTAATCTAAAATAATTTTAATGTTAAAGGCTCATTATGCCCCAAAATGTTTTTATTATTATTTTTCAAAAGCATTTAAATTTGGGTTTAGTTTATTCTGACCAAAACGTCATTGGCCAATTACCTAAAACATTTTTTCTTCTGTTGCCTCTTGGCAGTTAGTATAGTTCAGTATCTTGTATATAATTCAAAAGACTAGCTTTACTTTAATGACAAATCATTTTAAATTAAGGACTATTTTTTCTCAAGGTAACAAGGATCAAGGTAACAAGTATCTGACATGCCCTGAAATCATTTTTCCACCTATTAAAACTCATATTTGATGTTTCTAAAGAAATAAAATTTCATTTGTTTCTACGACGTAATATTCCTTTAAATAAAAAAAAAAATTAAACGTCAATCACTGAAAGTACATAATTATGATAAAAATATGCTAACTTACATTTAATATATATTCTAATATCTTATGTCCATGAGGTAAAGATTTTATAGGATCGCTGCTACATTCCATGTGTAAGTAAAAGTCTCCTCGTCTGAAGCTAAGTAAGTCACTATCGTCTTTACTGATCTTTACTAGAGCTGTAGTCAAAACCGCCACTGCATCAACTGTCAGCGCAACTTCTATCTAACAAATACATAACATGATTCTACGAATTTAATTCCCTTTGTGCCTAAAATACAATATCGCCAATCTATCTAAACATGTAATAAAAATTAGCTTGGTTTATACGCGGAAAACCTGCATTTACTTATTTACGAAGTGCAAGGAAGATCTGGTTTACATGTACACTTAACATGTTATGCTTGAATAATTAATCATAAGAGCTTTCCGTGCCATAGGTAGCACCTAGTTTCAAATTCCAGTAACGCAGGAATGTGCAAATAACGTAAAAGTAACGCCGAATCTGTGCAACGATATTGCCAAAACGAATAACACAGTAAGTAAACGGACCCAAATACATGTATTTTATTCTTAATCAAATTTAAAGAAATGAATTAGCGCATACGGACGCTACGACAATATAACTTAACCAGCATTGCAATTTTTTTCAGGAATATGTTAACTTCTTTTGATCATTCGTAAGAAAGTCAACCTGATTACCGTTTTGAAGGTGACTTTTGTGTTTCGTCAAATAAATATGTACAATTAACACATTTAACACAATATTTTTTTCATATTCTGTATACCTAAGACATTTGTCAAACTACAAGTGTGGTATAACAATAGAAGAACGCTGGTAGAAGATTTAGCTACTTTTAATGAGATAACCGCCGTTTCTTCAGTGCTCCATTCACGAATTTGGCGTTACCTCGTAAAATGGTCTCAATTACGTTCTATCTGCTAAATAAAGTGTAATATGACAAGAGTAGATTGGAAAATGCCTCAGGTACACCGCATATAAAATAATAAAGTAATATGTAAGTTACTGTATTTAAAGATGTCAACTATGTCGCCATCAATACGATAGTCAGGTCGTCGTTTTCACGAATGATCTTGGAAAATAAACATTTTCATGGAAATTGTTTTGATGAAGTTTAAAGTTTAATGTCTCAGCAACTGTATGCGCTAATTCATTTCTTCCAATTTGGTGTACAATGAAAAAAAATTGGTCCATTTACTTATCTCGGTGCTCGTTTTAGCCCCTTAATTTCACAATTCTGCGTTACTTTTGCACAATTCCTGCGTTATTTGCACATTTCTGCGTTACTGGATATACACGGTGTATTAGGTTCTTAGATAATAACCGGTAAAATAATATTCACAAAGTAAAAAGTTCCAAAGACAATTACAAAAATAAAATTTTTGAGTACTTGGATTCTTATTATATTATAATTCCTAAACAAATCAATATGAAAAATTATATTAAAGTTAAATATAAAAGTTAATCTTTCTAAAAAAATCTGGATTAAAACGCCAGTTTTTGTTACATGTTTGGGTCGATCCAATAACCGGCTTTCCTGGTGAACTAACCAGTAATTACGAATTTCTCCACAAGTGACCGACTACTTATCCCACATGATGTCTGAATGAGCAGCGTAAGAAAATGACAGACACAATAATCTGATTCACTCCTTATTAAGCTAAGCAGATGGACGTTTAATTTAATTTGATATTCAGACTGAATTAAGGTTTAATTATATATATTAAGGTTTAATATTACTAGAAATAGGAAATATAAATACCGAAGGTTGCTGGTCAACCTCAAGAAGATCAATGAGAGTTCTATGTCTGTGAGTGGCTTTAACCAACTGAAAACCTGTGATATTTACTCCACCATACGTAAAGGATTTCCATAAGTCTCTATTCATTCCATTTATATCCTGTAAGCAGACTAACGGTAATGACATACACACAATAAATATGTTTTATACGTTAGTGGATATACCAGTTTTTGTAAAATTAGAGCCCGTTATTGTATTTTTTCTATATCGAAGGAATATTGTCACTGTACATAAAATGTAAAATGTTTATTGTTCTTATTAACACATTTACCTATCAGTTTCTTACATCTATGTCTTTTAATGTGTTCCGCGTGCTTAGTAGTCTTTATGGAAAGGTGGAGAATAAGTGAAATACAATGGTTGTTTGTATGTCTCACATTTTTGTATTTTGCTATTAACCTTCCATATATAGGCTTTATGTCATTTAATTCAGTATAATCATTGTTCTGTCTAATAAACTTAGTCACAGCTGTACATTTATATCATAAAGAAATATATTTTGGTTAAATATTTACAGTGCAAATATACATGTATATTGTAAATGAACTGTATATTAAAACAATGGTACGTTGCAATAAAGTTCAATATTTATTATTAACAGTTCTTTCAACGTTAAATTGGATCAAACTAAGTTTTTTGATATTCATAATATTCAATGCATTGTGAACTTTTTTTAATGGCGTCTAAAATTATACACAGCAAAGTTGTTTTTATTAAAGAGAAACATTGGTTACAATGACATCGACGTAGTAAATTAAATGTTACATAAATAATATCTGTCATATATTGCGGTTCAGATAGGAAAATCCTTCACGACGGGACCCGCCCATTGGGCGGTAACGAGGCTTGTCAAGTTACCGCCCATGGGCGGGTCCCCACGGGACGCTTTGATATGATATTATCCCCTACCTGACACCGTCCCTCCACTCCCTGTTACAACCCCCAAAAATATGATCTTAAGTCAATTTCCACATTTCGTACTCATAACAACAATAATATGACACTATTACAAAATTTTCATTATGCCTCTATAGTATTACAAGGACAGCAACTCCTTCGCCCTTCCAGTGCTTTGATTTTCAATGTCATAACTCAGCCAAATCTCTATATATTTTAAAAAACTTGATCTCGATCAATAGTGTATAGATATATGTATACAATGACATCTTCTATATTAAGCAGTGATAAGTATTTTGTTTTATACGAACACTGAAATCGCCGGTAACGTGAAATCTGACAAGATCTGATTCACTTCCACGACTGAATTGCTAAAACGAAGCAATGTTGCATAGAAAATACCAAATAAACACACACACAAACGATATCAACATTTTCAAAATTTGTTATTCTTAAAATGTTTGTGCAAAGGGTAGATTAAACGACATTGTTTTTCAACCGACTGGAAAAGCCTTTAAAGAACGTTGCTATTAAAGGCGAAAACAAATTTTACCACCAAAAATATATATAGTCCAATTATATTTCTTATTATTATATACCTATAAATTTTCTCCCTAAAATACACGCAAATCTTGAAGCGCAAATACGCTTCAACGGATAGAAATCCGTATTATGTTAATGAAAAATACGGTACCATATATGGAAGTGCCGGACTATTTTTGACGTTGGTTCCGGTCTTAGCTTTGTATAACGTTGCTTTAAGGCGTGGCCGGTTTGCAAGAATTACGTATTCATCCGTCGGTCAAGAATTTATTTCTTGACAACTATATTCCATTTTCTGAATAAAACGAAAAGGTATAACATAAAAGGAAAATTATGTTGTAGTAGCTTTATGAGACTATGTATTTTTCTACTCGCAACGTTGGAAAATTGATATCCCGCTCGACCTTCGGTCTCGCGAGATATCAATTTTCCATCGCTGCTCGTAGCAAAATACAAAGCCTCAGAAAGCTACTTCAACATGATATTCGTATTTCTGACGTGTTAGAATGGTAATATATCTTGATTTTGAGCACGGATTTATATATAAATCCGTGATTTTGAGTGCTCTCTGTTCAACGTATAGCACGGTATGGAGTTCAGTTGCGCAGTAATATAATCACAAAGGCAGGCTGAGTGATAAATTACAGCGCATATATTATAAATATATTTTACAAATGCTTACCAACGTCCCAAGAAGATAATGGTAGCCGTCTCGATTCATACCGACATCTATGATCTGTGTAATTTAAGTTAAAACGTGCAGTTTAATGAGGTATAATTCACTTTTAGAAAAAAATAAAGGAAAAATATCGTTGACGCAACAGGCGATTTTTTTTCTTTTGCTTTAATTTAGAAATGAATGTTCAATAAATAGCATGCGCCTTTTGATACAATTTACTTGTTTGAAACTTTTAAGTATACAAATGTACTAAGTATCTCATAATATGAAAGAACAAGAATTTGTTACAAGAGCACCGCTAGGCGGAGCATTATATGCCCGAAAGTGTTTATTTTTAGTAAGGATGAAGCATTTGTAAGTCATGGGAATTAGCTGTTCATCCTATAAAATTTTACAGCTGTAGGTTTATTTATACTTAAGTTATCAATAATGACCTTAACCTTTGACCTTGTGACCCCAAAATCAATAGGGGTATTCTGCCTTATATGGACAATCATCCTAAGAAGTTCAAATATTCTTGGCCAAATGGAACTTTAGTTATGCTCCGGAAACTGTTTTCAATTTTAAGGTAATAGTGACCTTGACCTTTGACCTTGTGACCCAAAAATCAATAGGGGTCTTCTATCCAATATGCACAATCATACTATGAAGTTTGAATATTGTGGGCCAAATGGAACTTAAGTTATGCTCTAGAAACTGTTTTCAGTATTAAGGTAAAAGTGACTTTGACCTTTGACCTTGTGACCCCAAAATCAATAGGGGTCTTCTACCCAATATGGACAATTATCCTATGAAGTTTGAATATAGTGGGCCAAATGGAACTTGCGTTATGCTCCGGAAACAGATTTTGGTTTTAAGGTAATTGTAAACTTGACCTTTGACCTAGTGACCCTAAAATTAAAAGGGGTATTTTACCCAATATGGACAATCATCATATGAAGTTTGAATATTGTGGGCCAAATGGAACTTAAGTTATGCTTCGGAAACTGTTTTCAGTATAAAGGTAATAGTGACCTTGACCTTTGACCTTGTGACCCCAAAATCAATAGGGGTCTCCTACCCAATATGGATAATCATCCTATGAAGTTTGAATATTGTGGGTCAAATGGAACTTAAGTTATGCTCCGGAAACTGTTTTCAATTTTAAGGTAATAGTGACCTTGACCTTTGACCTTTTGTCCCCCAAATCAATAGGGGTCTTCTATCCAATATGGACAATCATCATATGATGTTTGAACATTGTGGGCCAAATGAAACTTAATTTATGCTCCGGAAACCAAATTAATAACGGACGGACGGACGGACGTACGGACGGACGGACAGACAGACGGACGCCAGGGGTTATAACATAATATGCCCTTTCGGGCATATAAAAATGAAGTATGCAACTAAAAATTACAATTTTAGATTTGACCACAAAATGCGGTCGTTTGTTTGACACCGGCATGTGCCTGTATAACACACTTTTGGATCATAATGTGTCCCCAAAGAGCGTAATGCAACAAGATTCTACAAGTAAAATGGCAATGGCACGCAACCAGATTTTCAATTATCACCATTGTTTGGTTGTCATAATATGTTGAATATACATAGAATCAACCTACAGATTGAAACAGTTACAAAGAGCCTATGGAGCTCAAAAGCAATCCAAATTGAGCCTTTCAAATACTGTAGGAATTATATACAAGTTTAACTTAAATCACATTCCTAACTCTAGTAATAAACCTGAAACCACTTTTCTACTTTAATAATAGTGGCATTTTCTTGACCTTAAGGAACCCAAAAGAAATCCCGAGCGAAATCTTCACATAAGCTTTCTATATATAAGTTTCATTGAAATATCTCACTCCATACTCTAATTATTGACCGGAAACTGATTTTCTATTTTTATTGACCCTAGGGGGTTCAAAAGTGATCCAATGCAATACATTTACATAAGCAGTTTTATTGAAATATATCATTCCAAACTCAAGTTATTAACCGGAAACTGATTTACTATTTTTAGTTACAGTGATCTTGACCATGACCCAGTAGGTCCAAAAGCAATCATAAGCAAGGTATTTTCATAACCTTGCTATAGACTTAGTTTCATTAAAATATAAGTTCGTGAAGTTGGCAGCCTAGCAGCCTGAAGTTTGCAGCCTAGCAGCCTGGCAGCCTAGCAGCCTAAAGAATACTAAGAATAGTACAAACATGAAAACCGTCGGAAATACATTAGTAGCACTTCTTTAGATCATTCCACGCCTTTTTCAATATCGTGATCTTTATTTTTTTAAGATGTTGAACTTTATCATAACATATTTTTTTCATTCTGACGCTTCGAAATTTGTGAAGTTAGCAGCCTAGCAGGATAGTACAAACATGAAAACCGTTGGAGATGAATCGGTAGCAAATACTTAGACCATTCCACGCCTTATTTCAGTATCGCGTACTTTATATCGCGTACTTTATTTTTTTTTAAATAATTAACCTTTTTTTTATTTTAACACTTCGAAATTTGTGAAGTTTGCAGCTTAGCAGCCTAGCAGCCTGGCAGCCTAGCAGCCTAAAGAAAACTAAGGATAATACAAACATGTAAACCGTCGTAAATGAGTCGGTAGCACATACTTAGACTATTCCACGTCTTTTTTCAGTATCGCGAACTTTATTTTTTTTTTGACACTTCGAAATTTGTGAAGTTAGCAGCCTAGCAGCCTGGAAGCCTGGCAGCCTAGCAGCCTAAAGAAAACTAAGGATAATAGGCTGCCAGGCTGCTAGGCTGCTAACTTCACAAATTTAGAAGTGTTAAAATAAAAAAAAAAGTTAATTATTTTTAAAAAATCAAGTACGCGAAACTGAACTAAGACATGGAATGGTCCCGATTCATTTCCGACGGTTTTCATGTTTGTACTATCCTGCTAGGCTGCTAACTTCACAAATTTCGAAGCGTCAGAATGAAAAAAATATGTTACGATAAAGTTCAACATCTTAAAAAATACAGATCACGATATTGAAAAAGGCGTGGAATGATCTAAAGAAGTGCTACTAATGTATTTCCGACGGTTTTCATGTTTGTACTATTCTTAGTTTTCTTTAGGCTGCTAGGCTGCCAGGCTGCTAGGCTGCTAGGCTGCCAAGTTCAGGCTGTTAGGCTGCCAACTTCACGAACATTGAAATCATTTATTACTTATTTTAGTGACATTGACCTTGACTACTGAGATCTAACAGCAGACAAATGAGCTGGCAGGTGTGCTTCAAGCTAAATGGTTTCCAGTCAATAACTATAATGAAATTTGGTTAAATGTTGTAGTTGTGAATAAAAAAGATATTACACTATATTACATATATGAAAAAACAAAGGGCCATAATTAGGTCAAAACATATCAAAACACTAAACCGCGATAATATGCGCCAGAGCACTTGATGCTTCTGTGAAAGTTTGGTAAAAATCCCTTGAGAAATATAAGAGTAGTTGCGCACACCTGCCCGACTGTCTAAACATTCATTTGGGAAAAAATATTTTTTATCATTTAGATATTTTCAGTAAAATATGTATTAATTGTGTATCTTAAAAATTGGAGGAATATTCTTCTTTGTCTTCTTTCATACTAAGGCATTGCTCTCGACAGAGACTTTGCTTAACAAAGCGACCTTTATATTAAAATTAAAGGGACATAATTTAACAACACATTAACACACGGATTTACCATGCACTACATCAATTAAGATCAGTTCAAACTAGTGGTTCAGATGACATTTTATGTGAATCATATTCTTATTGAAATACACAATCGTGAAAATATTTATTAAGATATTAATATTTTAACTTTCCATTAAAGATACCTATTTTAAAGTTACTAACGGCCATGCCTCAGATTTTGATAATACTGATGACCACCACTTGCTTTTTATTATAAACATTCATGCAGAGTTTCAATGAACTTGGATCCGATTTTATCAGCATAGGCCTACATAAAAAATCTATTTAATCATTAGATTTTATCGAAATAGATATGTACACACCTGGCTCATAAATTTGTCATAGTCTTTGATTGAGTAGAGATCAACAACAATTCTTTTTGTGTTAAAATTGTAGTTTCTGTCTAATTTCCGGAGAATTTCCCGACAATTGCTAACATCCGGTATACGTATAGCATCAATCAAAAATTGCTGTTTACGCCCGTCTACAATACGATTGCTGAATGCCTGATAAAGTTTCTGTAGACGCCATAATGCTGCAAAAAAGTAGAAACATTATTTGCTACAAAAATAATGCGTGTTAAGAAACATACTGGCATGTGCGTGCGTGATATTTTGATACGAACAAATCTATATTCTTTAATATTATAAATTTTTATAAACGCTTTATTGTTTATTCTTCTCAAAACGGATAAAAATTACAACTATCGAATTTTTCAGATATTTTTCAGATAATGCAATTCTTCTTTTAATCGGTTTTTATACAGTTTAGAATACTTCAATTCAAATGTTGCCAGTGTATTTTGCGAAAGTGTATTCGTGTTTTTTTTCTTCTTTTTTTTTTACAAGAATAGTATTTAAGCCTGTCTCACACTGCTTCCAATTATCCCTTATCGATGTCAGGCAGTTTTCCGAAACTTTCACACAATTTTCTAACAGTTGCTTTACAAATATTTACAACAAGAATAATTGTCTTGGCTAAAACCGATTGAATCCGTCCTACGATATGAAAGTTCCTTCGAAAATTGCCTTCCTATTTCGTCTGATTCCCTAAGCAAATATTTGAGGCAGCAATCAAATTTGATGGTTTCCGTCGATTAGATTCTGAACAGGAATTTATCATGCTGGGTTTAGAGGATAGCGTGTTAATGCAAAACATTGAGTAAGACAGGCGACATATTTAATAGATTCTGTTTATTGCAATAACACTGTGTTGTTTTGTCTTGTGTGAAATATTATATTTACAAATCCCTGTTTAACCATTGACATATAATCTTAAAATTGAGAATGTTTGATATGAATTAAATATAACAATATAATCGATGATGTATCTTAATCGCAGAGCAATCTTATAAAAAAAAGTGTACAAAAAGTAAAAGAAAAATCTTGCATTAGTTTTGTTTCGGTGAAGTTTGCAATGTTCGGATACTAGATTGCGTCAATAATGATGGCTATGCTTTAGTAACGATGTCGTTTGTTTATCCTTTAATGTTTATAGTTAAAAACGTTAATACGTATATTGAAAATTTCACTTCTAAATATGACTCGTATTTAAATGATTATTAATGATAATTAGAAAAATTAGAATATAAGTGCAATGTTTATTGTAATTTTTTGAAATCCGAGTTATTTCGTTAAATTGATATTCCCTGTCTTGTGATAAATATCACTTGTGTATCTAGTACCCCGGATTATAAAATTAAATTTGGTGTGTTTACTGATACCACACAAGGCCAATACATCTGCGCACTATCAAGTATAAAAGCTCCTACAGTAGCGGACATTCGATTAGGATATAATGACATTAAAATTCTAGATTGACATTATTTAATGGCATGTGGTCATTCATTTGAAGTATGTAAGTAAGAAGAATTACAATTTTTATAGTCAAGTGTAGTGAAACACAAATCAAATAAGTACGAAAGACCGGTGGGGACATTTCAACTTCATGACTTCCCGATTTCAGCTGCATGAATTAAGGATTTCAACTTACAGAATTCACGATTTCAGCTTCATAAATTAATAAAGTTGAAATCGTGAACTCATGAAGTTGAGTTCGTGAATTCACGAAGTTGAATTCGTGAAGTTGAAATGGTGAATTCATGAAGTTGAAAATTAATGGCATGTGGTCATTCATTTGAAGTATGTAAGTAAGAAGAATTACAATTTTTATAGTCAAGTGTAGTGAAACAAAAAAATTACAGAATTCGTGAATTCATGGAGTTGAAATCGTGAATACGTGAAGTTGAAATCGTGAATTCGTGAATTCATTATGCTGAAAACTGGAATTCACGAAGTTTAAATTGTCCGGAGCTTAAGCCTCGGTCTCACTTACTCCCGGCAGAGCCCAGGACCATCCCGGTAAGTTACCGGGATGATCCGGGACGATCCGGGATGAAATTATTGTTTCGGTCACACTTACCCCGGCAGCACTACGGTAGTTCCCTACTAACCACCCAGGATGCGCTCCGGATCATCTAGGGAGAGCCCAGGTGAAGCTACGGTTCATGCCGGTGCTTCCCCGGTCGTTCCCGGATGACGCCGGAAGAGCCCCGGTTGACCCAGGCAGAGCCCCGGTCGATCCAGGCAGAGCCCCGGTAGAGCCCAGGACGATCCAGGCAGAGCCCCGGTAGAACCCCGGTGGATTGAAAACGCCCGAAAATGATAACTTTGATACATAATTTTTATTTAATATAATATCTATTGTTCCAGAATAGTAATTCATGATGATTTTCTGAAAAATCCTTATGCCATACTGGATAGAAGGGAAATGGGGAAGGCTTTTAATACAAACAAGTTCAATCATCACAAATTGTCCTTTTATTTTTTTGAAATGATCCGGGCTTTGCCGGGCTCTACCGGGGCTCTACCGGGATCAACCGTAGCTCTACCTTTATCCTCCGGGGCTCTGCCTGTTAGTTACCGGGGCTCTGCCGCGCATATACCGGGGCTCTACCGTAGCTCTACCGTAGCTCTACCGGCTATATCATTTACCCCGGATCATCCCGGTTTTGTGCCGGCAGAGCTACGGTGCTTTCCCGGTATCACCCCGGTCGTTCCCGGCAGAGCTAAGGATGATGCCGGCAAAGCCGTATACCTTCCCGGATCATCCCGGACCACCCCGGTGATATTAAATATTTTATTCCATCCGGGGTCGAATGCCGGATGTTCCCGGATCATCCCGGATCATCCAGGACGTTGCCGGCAGAGTTACGGATGTACCCCGGTTGTTCCCGGTCGTACCCCGGTCGTTCCCGGATCACCCCGGACATCTACCGGGGCTCTGCCGGGGCTCTGCCGGGATGTTAGTGAGACTGTAGCTTTATCTCAAAAAGTGTTAGAGGTATCAACTTGAAACTATATATGTGGATATATCTCATTGAGGAGGAGTGCAGCACACAAGAATGATAACTGTACCCTGCATAATATTTTAGTTATTGTCCTTTGTTATTTTTCATGCTTAATTTTTGTCCAGAGCATAACTAAAAAAGCCTTTGAGATATCAACCTGAAACTTCATAGGTGGATAGGTCTCATTGAGGAGGAGTGCAGCACACAAGAATGATAACTTACCCTGCATTGTTTTTTCACTTATATTGCCCTTTGTTTTTTATATTCATATTTGTATTCATATATGTTTCAAATCTGTAATCACTTCAGCCATCAGTTTGCATTACCAAAAGACCTCTTAAAATTGAATTATTCTGCTCCTTCCAATCAGCAAACACATTCGGCGAGGGATGGCCATGGCTAATGTTGACATGGCTCTTGTTTTCAGATAGATATGTATATACGTATTAATCAGAAGTTTCCAATTTGAAGCTATATTTTACAACTGACAGAAATTTTCCTAACATAAGCCTTGTTTAAGTAATAAATAGCCATAAATGAAAATCCTAGGCGGGTAATAGTGACACTTTTATGTGATTTAAAAAAAAAAGGATATTTGAACTTGAGAACGAACTATGTCATTTTATTTCCCCCGTTCCAATTTTATCGGCATGAGTAAAAATTTAAAACATTTCCTTACCGTCATCTGTGTCAAAAAGGTAAAATATTCTGTCCCAGTTGAAATAGTTTATTATATCAATAACTGCTTCTATGAAAGAAGGGCACATGCTAATTATAAAATTGTTGTTGCCAGCAGTTGTTTCTCTAGTAAGTGTCGGCAAAAAGAAAGGCACACGCAAAGCTCTGCTGTACGATTCGATTATGCTGAATGTTTCGCTCCTGCTGGTTCCAAATAATGCGATTGGTTGTTTTTCTATAAGGCTGCATACTGAAAGTCCAAATAAAAGTAATGGTACTGTTATCCAGTTTGTTTTATTAATACATCATTAATTCTTAAACAATTTGATATTAATATATATCTGTTACAAATATTAGAACATTACGAATGTGAGTTAATATTGACTGGATAAAAATGTTCACTAATTTCTAATTAAAATTCATGTAAATAAAGATAGCGTGACAGCTTTTACTCTTTTAAAAATAAACACGGAGATGAAAATAAACCGGAAATTAAATGTCGAATTTGAAATCTAAATTAAAATATTAAGGGTTGAAATATGATTACATTTTTTTATCTATTTCTTTTCGTGTCTGAATGATGTCCTAGTGTTGACAACATGATTTAGACAAATTACGTCAACTATGAATTATAGATGAGAAATATCAACAAATACATCTTTAATGACTTTCGGATAACGGGGAAAACCTTGGAAATTGTTTTCAGAGAGTTCGTAAATACATCTTAATTGTTGTTTGAGTAACACAGACGAGATATTGTCTCGCTGAACACAGTCTTAAAATACTTCATCATATTCCATGGTTAGCACCACTTCTAAACGTTTAATAAATCTAATTATCACATAAACGACGGCATAATAAAAACGGTATTACACCTATCGGCCTTCGTGCTTAAATTCTTGCGCATTTCTACTCGATACAACAATGCACTCATAATTAATATCTGTTTCCTAATTATATTCGTGTAGATTTAATACTAAAATTATAGAACTCGCATAATACGATTTTATTCAACTCGTTCAATAATTTAGTATAAAACCTACTCTCATGTACTATCCTCTATAAATTCGTGTAGCTTTATAACTAAATTTATTGAGCTCGTTTAATAAAATAATATTATACTCGCCAGAGGCTCCCATAATATGATTTTATTCAACTCGTTCAGTACTTACACTCATTCAATAACTTCTGTATATTATATTGTTTATGTTACATTATTTAGTTAATGTTGTCTGCAAAGGCTTTGAGATACATTGCGAAATAGCTGACAGTAAATTATGATTATAGTTGCAAGTTTTGCTTAGGTAACTTGTACCCGCGTATTTTTTGCCGAATGGAATTGTGTCAGACAGTCTTAATCTAAATTTATTCTTAAATGTCAAAACCAACGGCGTCATTATCAAAATGTACAAATAGATGTGATAAAATGTGTCTTGTCGTAATACTGGTTATTCTGCAACGACGAAACACAATGAGATGATCAGACGACTTATTTCAGAAAAATCATCGACTTAAGAAATCGTTCCATTTATACTACCGACTGATGGTAAATGTTAATATTCTATAAGACACCACATATCAATTATGTGCTAGATACTAGTACTATCTCGGAAAATCCCATATTAAAAATAAGTAACAATCAAACAAGAACAAAATGTTTGCATGTTACCCGAGCAGACGTTTTTAGCTCTCGTCCATTAAATCCCTACTTAAGTTTGTCTTTCCTTTATTATTTAGTTATCTCGACATAACTTTACTGGTAATTTTAGTTAATATCAACGCTGTGAGATCAATCTTCATTTTGGGAACACATAATACATTCATTAATGTTTTATTTTGGACACTGTAATGAAATAAAGCGATCAGTTAATTCAATGTTGTTCTCAATGCCTAAGCTTTAGACGCGACGGAGAAGAAATAAAGCAGGCTATTGTAACAGAAAGTAAATATAGAATATAGAATAGAATAGAAATATAGAATAAAGAATAAAATATAAATAGAGAATATAGAATAAAACATAAATAGAGAAAAGAAAATGATATGTTCTTTCTGCAACTCGTTTCATTACCAGTTTTTATAAGAGCAAATTTCTTTTATAAATGTAGAACATTTATTAAGGAATCATAAGGAACTGTAAAATTGACAACATAGGACAGTTATATGTCTTAAAGGTCACCTGTATGCAAAATTTAAATAAAATTTACAGTGTGGTTTATGAGTTATGGATATATTTCTGAAATAAAACTTTGCTATTAGAAGGGTTTTTTTCAGATATGAGGAAATGCTAAATCATCATTATGAAAAATGTTTTCCTATTGCTCATTGTTTAGAAACAAGTAATAACATTCAGGTAACAAATTACACGAGCAAAATGATTGTTTCTAAACACATTGGTTTTCATATGTATAAAAGTGTTACCCTACTTCACCCATTTTAAACATTTATTTGACCATTTCCCTATATAAAAAACCTTTTTTAAAATATCCCTAAAATTTACCACAATGAGGGGCTGTTGTCAAACTTTGCCTTAATTTTCATAAATTTTCATGCGAAATATAAAATACTTTTACCGTGTAGTTTTTATTTTATTACACTTTGAAAATATCTGGTATCATATTTGCTATTAAATTTGGCATTGTTTAGCAAATAAATACCTACAATAATTATATAATTAAAATCAAACACTTTTTTCTTCCATAAGATATCTGAGAGATACATAAATAATGTTAAAAAGAAAAACAAGAAGTATCTTTAAAAAGATACTCGGCCGAAGTCAAACTTGTTAACTTGCATAGGATAAGCTACTACGAGTATATACTAACCATGCTAACCGCAAACAGAACATTTTATTCGTCCTCAATAGTTTAATTTCAGTTCATTTTTACCCGCAATGTTTTTCCCCATTAATTGTCATCTTAGATTTAAACAATATCACTTACATTATTTGATTTTAATCAAAATGGAATTTGATTTGAATAGGAATTTATAATAAAAACAAAGATTTAGTAGATACTGTACACTAATTCCACGGAGAATTTTGCAACTGTTAATTAGTCGAAAGTTCGTTTCAATCGTCTTATGCCCGGTTCGAGAAGAGAATATAATGACTAGGAGAGCTTAGAAGAGAAACCCAATTGAAAGCAAAAGTATCAAAAAGGCGATCTGTCATATTTAATTTCATATATTTATTGAAAAGCTGTTAGAAACATCTAGAAAATATCAATATTGCGTTTTTATATTTATTCTGACTTATATCTTTTTCCATCGGGCAATCGAACAGACCCCTGTTGGACCGTATTTGGTACAAAAACGAATATGGTACAAATGTACCATATTCGGTCGAATATGGTACAAATGTACCATATTCGGACGGAATATGGTACAATTTTCGACCGAATATGGTACAAACATTGTACCATATTCGGTTGGAATAAGTTTTTCTATGCTCGCCAAAACGTATTTGGTACATACCAAAAAAACTCATAAAATGAAAATGGCCTAACGTATATGGTACATAAATTATGTATTTCTAATAAATGAAATAGTCTGCCGATGTGTAAACTTTTTTTTCAAACTCAAATACATTGTATTAACCTAATATTGGAAGTGACAAAAGTATCATCATCATCATCATCATCATCATCATCATCGTCGTCGTCGTCGTCGTCGTCGTCGTCGTCGTAACTAGCAGTAACAGAAACAGCTAACCTAACCACACTTTACATGGATTTTGCTGGTTGTGTAACTGTTTCGCCGGCTAGCTCAGTCGGTTGCGCGTCAGATTGGCACGCAGGCGGCCTGGGTTCGATTCCCGGGCGGCCAGATACTTTCGTGGAGATTGGTCACGAAATGATTTCTACGGCCATTCTTCCCCTACCGCTGTTTCAAGTAGGGCAGTTGTCAATTACTGGCGAATGTATCTGCTTAGTACTGGTTACTTAGTACTAGTACTCTAAGACTAGAGACGTGCTTGCTCCAGGTAACTCTGTAAAAGTTTGAGGATTATCGCATTTTGGTTATGTTCATAGAGTGTGAACTTGTAAGGGTAAAGGTAGGCGAGCAAATCCATGAAGCGCGCCAGCGCTTCTTGGAAAATTTGATCGTTTAATACCCCTCGGTATTAATGCTTATATTTTAATACATTTTAATAATAATTGGTAGGTTTTGTCCAGATATGATTGCTTTAAGCAAACGTCGGTGACTCCGGCGACAACGGTGACTCCGGCGACAACGGTGACTCTGGCGACAACGGTGACTCCGGCGACAACGGTGACTCCGGCGAGGCGACAACGGTGACTCCGGCGACAACGGTGACTCCGGCGACAACGGTGACTCTGGCGACAACGGTGACTCCGGCGACAACGGTGACTCTGGCGACAACGGTGACGTCTCTGTGTGTTCAGCCCTGAAAGAGCTTCAAGATATGATAAACAATAGGAGGGCACAGAGGCGAACGACTTTCCATTTCTGATGTTACCACTTCACATTCAAGTTGAAATTTTTAAGTTCTGCATACAATCAAACCCGTCAATCCAGTTTGTGTTTGGCGAAGGTCGGCAAACCCTTTAGAGATTTTAATAAGGTCAATGAGTTTGCAAACACCTAGAATTTACATTCGGCCGGATATTGGACTAGATACTAGTAACAGAATCCTGTTAGCGTTCGTTTTCCTATTAACAAGAGCGGGGCAGAAAACAGCGGTCTTATTTCGGCAATAAAAGAAATCATCAAGGGCCAAAATGGGCAACGCATGGTGCGTTTGCGTGTTAGTGGAATCGGTTGGTATGAATATCATCGATGTCATGTACAGACATTACAGGTGAAATATACATGTATATCGGTGTTTGGAAACCTGTTATGTTTTTTGTGATTGATGATTATGTTCTTCTACCGGAAATTTGTTTGTCATTTGCTCATTTAATGGTAACTTTTTACGAAGCACATTTGGGATATTTTGGCTGCTACTAAAATGAATGTATATAGTGTATATTATGTCTGGTCAAAATGGCTACAGTTGGATTGAAATTTAAATGCTGTTCTATGTTCTTCAATATTACTTTGAAAAATCCTGTCAAGTATACCAATAAATGAAAAAAGTTGAATCTCTGAATGAAACAAATTATAAATACAAAATGTAAAATGAATATGTGATGATGATGAGACAAAACATTTGTGATGATGATGAGGTAAAAAAAATTGTGATGATGATGGTGGTGGTGATGATGATGACAGTGGTTATGATGATTGGGG